GGCTCCGGCACGTATGGATAGCATGTTCCAAAGCATGCGATCTGTGACACATACGACTTGCGCGTGTATTTGCTTCATTGCAATAGTGATGATAACAGCATCCGTGCAGCAGCAGCGGAAGCAGCTGTTGCAACTGTTGTTGTACTAGTCGCAGATACTAGTTCTAAATCTCAGCTCTTTTTGCAATACCTGCCTTCTTGGATATTCTCACGTCCTTACTTAAGCATTGAAGGTTGTTCAAGTATTTGGTTGCAAGCTTTGAACAGCCGAGTGACCGAAGCAACACGTACTGTGAAATGCTGACTTCTCCAGCAGTAGATTCAGTAGGTCATAGACATCAGCAAAGCAACCAAAAAATGCTTGTCAGCTGCAGCACACAGCTGATCTCGCAATTTTCTTTGTAGATAAAACAGTGTGCGTCTGTATCAGGCTAGAATAGGCACCCACATGTACATAAGCATGCGTACATGCATGCATATTCGTCAACGGATGTCACCGTGGTCAGCCTGATGATTATTTCAACTTTGATTCTTTCTGTGTAAGCAGGATGTGTTCAGACACATTCTTATATGTATATATATATGCACTTATAGTTGTATTAAAAACAGATACATACATACATACATACACGTACACAACGTGCATGTATGTACATACACCGATGCATTCCTGCACAATCTCAGCCGATGTAGCAACATGCGCATTGGGTGCTGAGCATACAACATGCGCCAAGCAACGTCCAGCAAAGGCCGGACCGAGCAATCGAGATCAAGGTGTTCTTACATGCTTATGTTTTTGTGGACAGCTGATAGGCACCTTTCTGCGCTCAAGTTTCATTGTGCGACTATTGAGAGTGTGCTTTCGGTCACACGGCCTTGCGAACACGTCATTACCTATACAGGAGTTGCCAGCAAACAGTTGGATGATAAGGATGACATAACAAGTAGCATACAGACATGAATCTAAAAAGGTAGACCGGAACATGAGCTGTATTCATGTACGAGCATAGCTGTATGTACGTACAGCAAGAGCATGCGTGACTGAACATGTGCCGATGTGCATCTGTGATGAGTAGTGCATGGCGAAGCAGATAAACACATTTGTTTATCGGCTGCAGCAAGTGTAAATCACAAAAGCTCCAGTACTAGCTGTGGAGGCTACGTGTCATGATGCTGACAATCAGCAAGTTGCAAACTATGTCGACGACTGCGCGGGCACCTGTTTCGGCTACCGCGTCTGCTAGGCATTTCCACATGCATATCTGAAGTATAAGTACATTTATCTATATACAATACGTATACATAATATATATATATATATATGTGTGTGTGTGTACATCTTGCATTGCCGACATCTAGCCCCCCGAGGCATGCTAACGACGGCGCAATGCATGCTTTCTGACTTACACGTGCTCCTCAGTTCAATGTTTATATGCAGCAGAAGCCAGAAAGCTGGAACATTGGGAAATTCAAGCCTTTAAGTCAAGTAGCATGTGGAGAATACCATCACTCGTCATCTTCTTGAAGTTTGCTGTAGACACTCATTCACACACACACACAAGCAGACAAACACACACACACACAGACACACATACATATATATATATATATACATATCAGGAGACACAGCACATAAAGATATAGCGGCTAAAGATTGCGAAGTCGCGATTGTGTTTCTGCCGTGCCGTGCCGTGCCATACCATGCCATGCCATGCCATGGTCTTCGCAGGGAACTTGCATCAGTGTCGTCGTACGGTAGCAGGGCGTGGAAAAACTAAATTGTGGCTTGCGTTGCCAGCCAGGTCTCCGCCGCCGTGCAGATTCTGCCATCCTCGAAGCTGGCAGCTGCAGCAAAGGCCTCGTCTGGCGCCGAAAAGCCGCCAGTCTGTCGTATGGTTCATGGGGAGGTCTTGTTTCAGGCTTGTTCAGGGCACGCCTGTGTAGAGTTTGTCACGCCTATACTTTTATACACGTATATATATATATATATGTATACATATATTCGCTTCTTTCCTTGAGCATTTGATAGCTTATCTGTATACTTATATGTACATACAAATGAACATACATTATATATACATATACGTATATACGTCCATACACCTGTATGCATACATACAAGAATACATACATACATACATACATACATACATACATACATACATAAATACATACATACATACATACATAAATACATAAATATATACATACATACATACACACATACATAAACACATACATACATATATGCACACATGCATACACATAAGCATGAGTACATGTTTACATACATACTTACATACATACATACATACATACATACATACATGCATACATACACACATACACACACACATACACACATAGATAAATACATGCATGCATGCATGCATGCATACATACATACATACATACATACATACATACATGCATATGTGCTTTCATTTCCTACAAACATACATACATACATGTACATACTACATACCTACCTACCTACCTAC